CACTAATCGACGTGTCACTGTTGGGGGTTCTGTCCACCCCCGAAGCATATGGTTTCTTGATGCGCGCCCCCACGGTACGCTGCCCAGGAGCTCCCGACCGTACTTCCCCCGGGCTCCCTCCCGGCCTCCCAGGGCAGACGGCGCAGGCCCGCGCTGAGGCAGCACCCCCGCGGGCGCGAAGCGGCCCGAGCACGACGGCACCCACCAGTCGGGGGCCAAGAGGGGGGGTCCAAGGGGGGGGGGGCACAAGTCATGGCAGGCGGCACGAGCGTGGCCCCGGGGGGGGGGGGGGGGGCGGGGGCGTACTGAAACAGGAGGAGGCGCCGTGCAATCTGGGGAAAGGTCATGGCCCACGCCACGATGTCCATCCCCCATCCCTAGTACTCACTCCCCTCTGAGGCGTCTTGGGCCGTCTTGGGGCCCTCTTCGGCCATTAGGGGACCCTCTTGGGGGCCTCTTGGGCCGTCTCGGGGCGATCTTGGGGGCCTCTTGGGCCGCCTTGGCGCGTCGGGAAGCGGAAGAGGCAAGAACGCCAAGCTATTTCAAAAACGTATGGGAAATCCATGAATTTGGCCTCTTGGGCCCCCCAGACCAAACGCGATGCTCTCAACTGGCCGGGCATGCCCTCCACGAGAGGCCCCCGAGAGGCATCCCGCAGGACACCTCCCGTGCAGGCGGGCTGCGCTCTGGCCCCCTCTGCCCCTGCTCACGCCCCGACCCCACGACGGGGCAGAGCGGCGGTATGCATAACAATGATGGCAATGACGATGACGATGACGACGACGATGGCGTCGTCGTCGTCGTCATCGTCGTCGTCGTCGTCGTCGTGATCATTTATCATCGCCGTCGTCGTCGTCGTCGTCGTCGCCATCTGCCACGTCTTTTGTCCAGCCCCACGCCGAACGTGGGTCGCCGATCCTGGGAGGCCAGGAACATCGAGAGGCATGCTCTCTGGCATGCGCCTGTCGCAGAGCACTCTGGACGGCCCAAGGCACGGTGTCGTTTTATGACCACCGTGCCTTGGCCCGCCCAGAAAAAAAAACACCGGTTGTCATAAGCCCGGGGCCGCTTTATGGCAACCCGGTGTTTTTATATGACAAGCGGTGGTTTGTTATGGCAACATGTTTTGTTTATCTTGTTTCCTTTATATATATATGTGTATATATACATATATGCTTTGTGTTATTTCAATGACAACCGTTTTTGCATGACAACCGGTGCTCTTTATGACAACCAGAAAACCCTCCGACGCCTTCTGGGCCGCCACGGCCCGCCCCAAGCGGCTTCGCACTGGTCTGCAAATCCCACTGGAGACGGTCGCCAACGGCGAAACCGCTTCACGATCGCCTGTCGAACCGTTGGCACCTAGGCCTTCAAGCACCGCCCTCGCCCTTGGCAGACGTGTGTAAACCTGCCGCGCTGCAGCACGCTGTCATCCTGGCGGCGCGCACAAACGGGTGGCGCGAGGGAAGCTGCCTTCTGGAGAGGTGGGGCCTTCTTAGATGGCAGTCGGCTTCGTAGAAACCTCCACGCACTTCTCAACAAACATGAAGGGGCCCTGGGACACACAAATAAATACACACAAATAACAGGATCCCCCACCTCTTCAGATATCTTCTTGGGTTGTGTCCTCCCCCCCACTTCCCGTACTTTTCCATACTCTCTGGAGCATCGACGATTCATGGTGTCTGCGCGCTTTTTTTTTCCTCCCGAAAACCTCCCGCCTTCTCCGAAGCCGCCCGCCTGCTGAGCAGGCCCCCCCGCTCGCGCCACGCCGGCGTGCGCGCCGCCAGATGGGCCCTCGGGGGCCCCAGCTCGGGCCTCCAGCGGCCGTCCGCGAATGGGGCCCCGGGACACGCGAATGCATAATGCGGGATGACGATTAACAAACAAAATGGGGGGGGGAACGATAAACAAAAATAGTTTCCTGCTATTTCTGCACAAATTTCTGACTGGAGGAGAAGGATTCTAAAACATAGTGTTCCAGCCCGCGGCCGGTTTTTTCTAATCGTCATCCCGGGCGCCGCCGCGTGAACACGACCCCCGGTCATTTGTTAATCGTCATCCTCCATTACACGCACAGCAGGACTCCCCCCATCTGTTCCCATATATCTTCGGGGCTTTTTGCCTTCCCGCCCCACTTCCGATATTTTTCCACATGTCCTGGAGGATCGACGATCCATCGTTCGGGAGCGGCCAAGAAGGGGGGTGTCCAAGAGGGGGGGGTGCAAATCATGACCGGCGGCATGTGCGCGGCCCAGCGGGGGGGCCAGGGACGTAATGAAATAAGCAGAGGCACCATGAAGTCTGGGGAAGTATCCTGGCCTACGCCATGATATCCACCCCCCCTAGTCATCACCCCCCTGCTTTCCGCCCCCGAATCGTGTCTCTGTGTTTTTTTGGTAGTCCCCAAACGTGGTGGTGACAACACCTGGCGGTGAGTCTCGGGCGATTTGGTGTCACCACCCGGTTTGGGGACTCGTGCGGTTTTCCGAGGATG